TTGGTCCGCCATGATATTTGTTCCTGAGCGTCAGTCTCTGCCCTAAGATTCGTTTCAACATTTTCCTTTGTGTCCCATGAGAATATCATTTCACGAGGTCTCCCAACCAAAATTATATCTATATTTCTTGTTTCCACACGCGCGTAACGTATCCATTGTCACAATTGCTACTCTTAGCCGAGTGTCCGTCCGTCTTTACTCTGTTTAAACTGGGCCTGCAACATTACAGTAAATAATTATGGTCCGATTTTTGTAAAGTGACGTACACAAAATATACAGCGTGGTCACCGGCAAACCAAAACAATTTTGTAGCTCTTGGCGTTGGGTCATGGAGTTCCTGATGCAGACATTCGCATCTCTGTAATTCCTGTCATCAACAGTACAACAAAATGTTCAGTCTAATTTCAAGTAACGTCATTGCGAAAAACTGTCTCTCATAGCCAGGACGACTTCTAATAGCGTAAGACCAGGGTTCTATCCTCGTGAGGGTCTGGGGCCTTCCCAACATGTTATTAAATCAGTAATGGGGTTCCATTCCCCAGAGGTAAAACGCTTTTAAGCACGAGTAGGAGCTACACTAACTCTCCCCCCCAAGTGCCTCTATGGTGTGCAGGATGACTTGCTTAGAATTCTGTATTGGCCATAAATCTTTGTTAAGTAGCTTATCATTTACGGTAATTTTTGGAAGTGGTAACGTACATCACAAGGGACCTCCAGATTTCAGTGTGATAACGACATGCAAGCTGAGAGGGTGTTCAAGAACCCTTCGTTCAGTGTCAACTCTTGTAGCCGGCACGAAATTGTACGCCTCAAGACCTTTAGGAGGAAAAGATTGGATGGTTGTAGGACAAAGCGAGGCGTCTGATTGTTTTCTGACCCACAAGGTAGCGACGTAGACAGAGCGCACAAGATTGGTTCCGGCTACTGTACGATTCGCGTTTGATTCTTCATTTCACGAAAAAACTCTCTCCTTTTAGAAGTTATCTCAGACAGACGTGGTTCAGTGAGACCCAGATAATTTCTCTTCAATTTTGTACCCCCAAAGTTGTTGGTAAATAATTCAAGTTATACATAGTATATAATCTACATCTAAAATAAATTATATACATTACATTACTGATTATTCAGTGTTTATCATAAAAAAAAATTAAATTTCACGTACCCCTTAAGAAGTCTTCGCGTACCCCAGGTTGAACACCACTGCTATAGACAGACAGCCTACACTGTTTCATTTCACTGAACTTGGCATCACGATGACTGTACCCCGATCTGGAAACTGGATGTATTCAGTGGAAGTTAAAGTGACATTACATTTCGGAACACTCTGTGCATGTAGCAATCAACAGTAGCAAGAAATCCGTTTAAAGCAATAGAAGTGGACTATCACCGGAGCTTTGTTGCGTGAAGGTGGTAGGAGAAAACTGTAGTCTTAGGCTGTGAGAGTAAACAGAAGGAAAATCTATTGGGCCTAAGTCTAATCAGCTTAAAGAGATTTGCCTTAAGTCTCCGAAGACAGTTTTATGGCGGCTAACGTTGAAAGATGGCACGAGAAGATTAGAGGCTTCTCACGGATCCTCAAAACACCTAACGCTTGGAGATAAGTGTCTTCTGAGATGTTCCAGTAGAGGAGTCATTCACGGAAAGACATCTGATAGTTCGTCAGTTCCACTCGGATACGGGATTGAATTTGTACTCCGATGACGTCACTCGTAATTATTAGTAAAATGCACAAGTGTGAAGACTTTTTCAGTGGAATAGAATTTTAAAGTAAATTTTACTTGAAAACTTTGGATCTTATCAGTTCGCACTTTTGTGGAATGTGTCTCTTGATGTGATCTTCACGAGAGCCTGATGGTTGTTGAAAAATTATCTTAGAATTAAAAACTGTAGAATTTATTACGTTTGAGAAATGTTAATAGTTCGTAGTTAATTTCGTCAAAACATTTTTCTTCGGGGACGGTGGGGGCCGAAAGGGTTTTGAGTGGGGGGTGAGCTGAGGTGATCGATCACCAAGCTCTCGAGTTGTACCTGAAATTGATTTAGTACTATATGAATCTTGCAAGAAATAACTTTGGTGGAGAATGTATTCTGAGAATAAATTTTTATTCATTAAAATATTCATCTCTCATTTCTCAATATTAATTAATAAAAATATTAAATGTAGGTACGTCAGTGAATATTTTGCCAGAGAACTAAATTATATTGAAAATTTTGTGTTCTTGAAGTACGATGTAGTTAAGAAAAGAAATCTTTGGTGAAATGCAATTTTGTTGTAAGCTGATTGTTGCTTATCTGTGCCGGAGTCATTGCATTCGCTCGCGACTGCCTTTGTCAGGGAGAGAATTAATTCCGTGCTGCTTCGTTCCGGAACTTTGTGAGACGGAACTGTTCGGCGGATAGTTCACGAGGGAGCGACTCGTTCTTCTTCAGTGAGCGGGCAGTTCCCAGTTCCGATGACGGAATAATTCTTTTGGAACTACCCGTGACCAGTTTCGTAGAAATTGACCGACGTTTCAGAAACGCTTACTGTCTTCATAAACAGAGCGGCCTTAGACTTCATTCTGTTTGGACTATCCACACACGTCCATCCGCTGTCGAGGACAAGAATCTTCATAAACAGAGCGGCCTTAGACTTCATCACGCAACATCCAGAAAGAGCATCGATGTTCATACTTGCCGCTGTGATAACCTTAAATCTCAGCAAACAGTTTTACACACACACAAAGAGGAGTGAAATTAACCGTGATTGGTTTCGTTCGCCAAATATAGAAGGGAGATGAAATCAAGTGAACGTAGCACGCGCGGAGAGATGTGAATTTGATAAAAGTTTTTGTCTTTAAAGACTGAAAAGAAGGGGTTACTCGGAAGACCAAGACGTAGATGGAAGGCTATATTATAAACAGATCTTTAGGTAAATTGGTGAGAGGGATAGGGCTGGATTAATCTGGCTTACGACAGGGACCGGTGGTGAGCTTTTATGAGCACGAGAATAAACTTAAGACAATAAGATTCTGAAAAGTACCCCACTCCATGGACTCAGCTTAGAGATCTGAAGAAAATCGAGGTCTTAGGCTACATTGGTCTGACGGTACAGCCAGTGTAAAGACATTAATGCAGTTTTCCCTCGTCGCGAGCCACAGGTTGCAAACAATTTCAGATCTCGGGACAAAATCGAGTTCTCTGAGTCCCGAGTTGTCGAGCGCCGAACAGGATCAGCGGGACAGAACAGGCACTGACCGACCATTTCTTACTTTCTTTATACTTACGACTTACTAAGGTTTCTTACTTTTCCTCAGTTCCCCTAGAAACTGCGCTGCTGTTTGAAAGGCTTTCAGGAAATCGCACAAAGAACCTCCCCCCAGTCATCACGATGACGGCCTGTGAGAACGGGAAACCTTGTCTTCGGAACGTCGGAGGTGTGGCCTCTGCCCCCTCGCACAGAATCGCCTCTGGGGGCCTTCGCCTCTTTTTCGTTATTGTGGGGCTGTGTCCCCAGCCAGTCCGACGTCCACCTCTTAGTGCGTGTCTTAACCGATTTTAACTAAATCAGGCACATTCGGTTTCTGCTTCATTCAACTGGAGGAGACGCGGGAATTCTACAAAATGATTGTTCAATCCGATTAAAATTTTAACTTAATATAGGAAATTACTGATTTAGCTAATAAATAGACTTGTATGAGTTTGCTACGTGGCGCCACAAGCCAGAAGACGGCCCATCTTCGAACTTCACCGCGGTGTGGAACCTCAAATCCTACGTAACAAACAAAGTACATCCAAAAACCAACTCAGAAACGAATAACAAAGATTAATTATACTACACTAAGCCAAATTTATGAACAAAGGTTATTAACACCGAGTTACTTTAACGTACGTTCAGGCATAACCAAATATTTACTCAGTATGAGAGCATCTTTACATACTCTCCTCGCAGCTGATGCACTTTTAGCGGAAGGAGGGAGAGGTTTGTACCTGAAGGACCTACAGTAAACAAAGGAAAATCTCTGAAACTTCGAGAAGGAAGCCGTGACCGACTTTATATCCGTCATGATCATTAATAAAACAGCGCATCTAAGTATCTCTTCGTCGTACGTAAGCTGTAGAAATGTAACTGTTCTAGAGAATTCGCGTAGTTATAATAAATTTCAGAACAGAAACTACTGCTAACTAACTAACTAACTAACTAGATGGCTTAGGGAACCCTAAGGTTCATCACCGAATTAACCAAAGCCCTGGGCCAACAAAATCCAATCTCCTTCAATTCGTGTCTCACTTAGAAATTCTGCATTTCATATTTTTAAACTGACCCGAACTGACGTAATATTTAGCTTTGGTAATTTTGCAAGTGCTATTATCACCGATGACACGCGATCATCGCCGTCAGAATTATGTCTAAAAGTTTTAAAATTTCACCCTGCAACATAGCCCTTCCTGTGAGATTAATAGGCAACCAGCCAGTCAAGAAATTCTACGCCTTTTATGGAACATCATAGGACTTCGAACACAGGACCCTATTCTAAGTCAGTTGAACCCAGTCCAAAATTTTACATGTTAATTGTTGAAGTTTCATTTTAATATTATCCTCCTATCTACGCGCGAGTCTCCCAAGTGTCAACCTTTTCATGTCTTCCGAGTGTTGTTTTCTAGCCCCTTCTGTCTCCCTCGTCTGTGTGGTGATGATTCCTTGAGCTGATTTCATCGCCAACTGGAAAATCCGCAATGTTCAAAGGTCATAGGTCATGTACTGACTGTAGCCTGTTGTAACTAGGCGCTTCGCCCCGCTGTGTGGCTGGGGACGTGCTCACTGGATGTGTCTGTCTCTTGGAGCTGATGGACGAGCTGCTATTTCGATTAATTCTATTGTCAAGTTGAAATTCATTCTCGTTTCTTACGAAGGTGCCATCGATTTTATTGATCTAAAATAAATTCCTACCCTTAGCATCTTCTGCCCCCTGTAGCATTGCGTCGAGGGACCAACACGAAGTAATGTCTGTGTGTTCCAGAGATGCAAAGAGAAATTGAACACGCTGGCAATCTCGGTGATGAACCAGTGGCCCGGCGTTAAGCTTAGGGTCACGGAGGGGTGGGACGAGGAGGACACCCACTCGTCCGACTCCCTTCACTACGAGGGACGAGCTGTGGACGTCACGACGTCCGACAGAGACCGCTCCAAGTACGGCATGTTGGCACGCCTGGCGGTGGAGGCGGGATTCGACTGGGTGTACTACGAGTCCAGAGCCCACATCCACTGTTCTGTGAAGTCAGGTGAGTCAGTCCGCCGATGGCAACTTTGTTTCTGGGACAGGGTGAGGGGTAGTCGGTGTCGTCTTCGTGAGAGGATTTCGCAGTTTTAAGTTTTGCGTGAAAGTTAAAAGGGCGTCCTGTTCAGAAATCGCACAGTCTCATCGACGAGGAATTACGTAAGTTATTCAAAGGTTCCAACAGATTAAAAGAATTTTTTAAAATCGGACAAAGCGGTTTAAAAGAATTGTAAACGGTAAAATAGTGCTGTTACAAATATCTTATTTATTTTTATGTAGTGTTCTGTCTGAGGACAGGTCCATATGAACAGGATCCTTCCATCCTTTTCTCGGGCTGGGACCTGTTCATATACGTTCTTGGCAGATGATCCAGAAGTGGTTTGCCATTGCCTTCTTCTGTGTGTGAATGGAGTAATTCTTGGGATGCCACGGAGGAAAACTCCGTGTTGCCTAGACCACGGCCTTGCCCAACACAAGTTATAAATTCGAACCCGAGACCCCCAGGATTACAAAGGAAGATAAAATTAAGGGCTGTACAGCATGGCAATTTTAAAATGTACAAAAATTTATGAACATTAGCCTCACATAAAATTCCCAGGCAAACTGGAAAGAAATAGTGGTCTAAGTTCTATGTACGCTGAATTTGTTTTCTGTTCAAATTTTAAAGTCTAAATTACTTTTGTGTTAACCCGGTATAACAAATGTAGGTCAGTGTTGTATTTCCTCTCATGGAGATGGCTGTGGTCGCCTAGCAACCGGATCACAAGATACGTCAGTGCCAAATTCATTCGACGCAGTGTCTCTGAAGAGGGCGCACGGATTCGGTTGTGTTGGAGCGTCGGGTCGACGTTCCTCTCGTCTGATTTAAACGACATGGCCTTTCGAGTGTCGCTCCGGCGCTCTGAAGCATCGGTATCTGCTCGTTAGCATCACGGAACATCCGTCTTGCGCGATGTCTATCGCCCCAGCGTAAGACAGTTCCGGCTACAAGCAGGCGCAGACGAAAGGAGGTGACTCACGCCTGGAGGTTTCGCTCTCCCGTCGCCGGACAGACGTTTCGGAATTTCCCCCCCCCCGCAAAATGAAACGAGCAACCACAAATCTCTGCAGATTGAAACAACGCGGACAAAAAAGTAACCATGTTCACGGGTCTCTTTCAGAACAAGACAACTATCAAAGCTACACGGAGCTGATTCCTCCTTGAGAAGCTGATAGTCACTCAGCCGGTCAAGATATTTTACCGTCTACCATGGAGACAAAAAGTTTCATAACGTAAAGTCCACACCCGTACACTTCGTTTCTTTAAGATCCATTTTAATATCATCCGCTCCCACGATCTCGTCCACCATTTAATTACCCCAATGATATCCATTTGTTACTTTTCTCTGTCTTGAGGACCTCATTACGACCTCGTAAGGATGTAAACTTTTGATAAAAATGAGGTCTCTAAAAGTTACAATTATCACAGAAGGAATTTTTAATATACATTACAGACTTTATTTGAATGAATTAATGAGTCAACTTTTTTAAACAAAATTATCTCCCAAGAAAAGAACCTTGGAACAGGTTCAGACTAGCTGTATCAGAGCAGACTTTTGTCCTCCCCCCCGAAGATGGAAGCAGAACCAACTTCCGAAACATTATATTTTAAAATAAAAAATAAAATAAAAACCACTGAAGCCTAACGGAATAATGATAGATATTTATAGTATTCTCCAAACAGCAATTTGTACTATGTTGGTCTGTAAAACTGCGTAAACCAGGCTTGCTCAAGCCACGGCCCGCTTATGAGGTTTATACGGCTCCTGTACACATGCCTGTGATATCGTGTCACCGTGTTTTAAACACACAATTTCATTCTAAATAAAACATTTTCATGTACGTAATTAATATAATTAAGAAGCCACACGTTTGTTACAGAAAATTATTGAGCAGGCTACGTGTAGGCTAACCTCAGTCACCCACTGAGTCAGTTCGGGTGTCGAGTCAAATTGGGGAGGCCAGACAAAATTTTAAGTCATGTGAATGTGACCACGGCTTGCGAACCCCTGGTTGAAGGACACTTTAAATGTCCCTCCTTATCGCATTGTCTCATTAATCACAGAATTTAATCAAGACTTGGACTCCAGGTATGAATGACGTAGGCTTTTAAAATTAAACAAAATGTCAGAAAAAGACCTGATTAGAAATTCGGAAATTCTGTTGGTGATGAAATTCCGTGTTTATTTAATTCACAACCGCGGACACACGAAACCAAGTTTTGTTGTTGTTGTTGTTGACAAATCTGGATATAAAGATAAACTCTCGAGTGCTTTTAATTTCGCAGTTAGCGGGAGGATTACTCGCTGCTCCAAGTTACACGAAATCCAGCTAAAAATAAATCTTGTCTCGTATTATCTGCCAGGCAAAACTTGTCAGTGAACTGTAGCCTAGTTTAGATTTATGTCGGGCGCTCGCCTAATTACCGGCCGCCCGCGTGCCACAGTCGACAGTCTATTGTTTCTCAAAGACGCGGTCGCCGATGTCAGTATTACATAAACTTCCATCACTGAAATGTAGAAAACGACAACTGGAAAAATCTTCGTCCTTGTGAAGCTATAAATTAACCGAAATGTTAGCTTAACGATGGAAAAAGGAAACTTTGTTGTGTAACGTTAAAAATTCAAACTCGTCTACGATTAATTACGCGGTTATTCGGTGGTGTTAATTCCGTTGGATCGATGAGCCAGTTAATTATTCGGTCGTGTTCGACTTAGATAATGATCCAGTTGTAGGCGCCAACTTCCGGACACGATCATTGCGAATATTTACACTTCAATACTGAAGGATTATCTTGGGGCATTCTATATAAATGTAAGTTACATTTCGACAGTTTTATTTCAAATTAACTGCGCGCAAAGTGTTGTTCATTTCCAGCAAAACATTACGCACACTTTTCGAATTTACGTTACCAACTTTTGACTCTGAATTCTATTGTTTGAACCGATATTAATTTAATACATTAACACAGAACATAAATAAATTATGTGACGAGCTGAAATTGACGTGGCGTACAGCAAAAGAGTCGAGGGGCTCCAAGATACGGTTGCAAAGCTGTCGAAGATATTTTTCTGTCCACACGTACAGCGGATGTGAAAACGTGGACAAAATTTTCTCAATTACTTGCATTCAAAAACACGAACACCTCCGGGGTTTTCCTCTGGTTCATGAGTTTTTATTTTTTGGCTGGGATTGTGAACAAAACTTTGAAGCAGACAGAAAATAATCTTTTTTCTTAACAAACGATCTGTGATGCTCTAACGGGTTCACGAAGGATTGGAAACACGGAAAGATTCTGACGTTCGGAATTGTGCAAAGTGTTGGCGGGATCAAACCGGAAGTCCTAGCGGCTAATCGAGGAACTAGCAGGATACTGGAAGGAATTAAGAAGGTATCAGAAGTTTAATGAATCTCGTCTTAACTCTGTCTTGAGTTGAGTCAACAGCACACAGGTGTTATCACGAAGTGGGCGTGGCCACAGCGTACAACACCTGCGCTCCAATGGCGAAGCCAGTGCATGTAATCACGAGAATGATCTAATGCTGGCTCGTAATTCTGATGGGGTTCTAGGTTCATATCCTGCGGGCAGGCTATACTTAAACAAAAATATGTTTGCTGTGTACAAAGACTGGTTTTACTGCCAACTGTTACCGATATTCATTATCGAGGCCGTCAAATTACGACGGTAACTTAAGAAATAATATTTTTTTACAAAAGAGAACTCAACTTAAAAAAAAAATTATATAAAAGGGAAATTTCATGGAAAGGAAAGGGAAATTGTGAGATTCTTGGTAAGTTACAGGAAATGAGACTGGTTTCTGCTATGATAAGAACATATTTTACAAATATGCGTGTTTTGTTTTAAACCCATCCCCCGAAATACAAGTAAATGTTGTCACAGCGAGATGTAGAATCTCCGCATTGCTTCTTACAAAAACAGCAAACCAATCGCCGAGCACGTTGTTCGATGTCGGATAACCTCACTTCTGTTTTCGATATCGTTATTTCGAAAGATAGAATTATAAATTAATAGTGTGGAAGAAAGCTGTCATGGCCTTGTTTAAGATACAGTGCTCTCCGACATTTCGCTGTAGGGACTGAGGAAAAATATGTAAAACCTCACTAAGATCTGAACCTGGGACTTCCCGAATAGGCTAACAACTTGGCCCGAACGGACGTTCGATTAAATATCAACAAATTTGTGTTAAATCTCATCTTGGGGGTCCGCACAGTAGAATTTAAAGAATGAATTTGCTTTTCGTGTCCGTCCATTGTGGTCTAATTAGCTCAATACTTTACTTGATTCTAAATCACAAAACATATTTTTATTCCACGATTAAACCTCCTTTTATCTCATAAAAACAACTGGCATGCATCTCGTTAACACCTACAAACTGCGTCTGGAATATTTATCATTTGTGTCTCACGAATTAAAATAAAATTAAGTGTGTGTTATCTGTAGACTGATTACACCAATGTGAACATTGAATGCACACCAAGGAGGCGAATCGATGGGAATTAACTTGCGAAACGAGTATTCGTACTCCAGATGACAGCGTTGACTAAGCTTATCTCGCGAAAGGGATTCTACTCCTACGGGAATATCTCCGGCTCCGGAAGGCATGTCCTAAATCTCGAGAAATTCATCTCTCCACGTAATTTTAGTGATCGCTTGTCTCCTGCAACTGTTATGAAGCTCCACATAATAGAGGGGACGACGGGGCCCTATTATTTAAGGGTCAGTGACCTGGAGTTCATTATAATATGGACCTTCTCTTGTTTTGTTCTCAAATCTGCCGTCACGTGGTGTCAGTCAGACAGTCAGCCATTTTGACGAAGGGCCGCGTACGACACAAACCGGTCCTATATAATCGTAAACTTTTATGAGCAAAGAAATTACGTTTTAAAATAAAAGCACACGGAAATAAGACAGTGCAACAACGGTTTATCCTACCGCCCACACAT